AAGGAATTCAGGCTGGTGCGGGTCCCGCTTCAGCGCGCATTTCTCGAGGAAGTCATCCACGGAGGCGTACTTCATGTTCGAAATATAAAAATTGCTGGCTTTGATTCCAATAGCAGGAATGAAATCTTTTTTCACACCCCAAAAGCAAAAGAAGCAGCATAGCATAGAACAATACAGAGGCGTACACCACTCACTCAGCCCTCTGGAAGTTAACTGCATCCTGAGTTTACGAATCTGCATGTTCCCCTTCGAATAATCTACCGCTACAAACTCAGATCAGCATCTAGCCCATTCACGCTGTGCCCTGTAACAGCCTTTAATTGCATTATATGTTATATGTTGCGCTTCACAATTTTTCGATGTGCGCTGTACTAAAAGTGTGCCTCGCCTGCAGCACTCACTCCCATATTCTGGTTTTTAGTGTGTGTTTCACATCAACTCAGCACGCTAGTATATGTTTTTTTACACCAAAAAAAAAAAACGTTTGCTGCTTGTGTATGGGGGTTATGTGAGAACATAAACTGTAGATGCATGAATTGCAGTAACAGGCGCGTAGTGAAAATCTTTTGAAAATCAGTCACAGATATTGATCATTGCTTGTGGCGACTATCAAGCTGGATGGTTACAGGTCCATCGTTCGTCAAGTTGATCTTCATGTATGCCTGGAACCTACCCGCCGAGATTCTGTCGGGCAGGTAGCTTTCTCCCAGAGTGTCGCGTAATCGATTGAACATATTCAATGCCCCCTCTGGATTCATGGCCAAGTGAAAGTCTGGCTTGTTTCCTTTCAGAACGTGCATAAGAGTAAACTGTGAAATCAAGAGAATGCCACCATCAATCTCCTTGACGCTTCGATCCCACGTCTTTTGTCCATCCTCGCTTGGCCACAGTCGCAAGCTGAGCAGCTTCCGAGCTATGTAATTCAGATCATCCATGTTGTCGTCACGATGGAAGCCAACCAGAACGGCAATTCCGCGACCGATCTCACCAACGACTTCATCGCCCACTGTGACAGACCCGCCAAGGACGCGTTGAATGACAGCCTTCATCCAACCTCACAGCCTTTTTCCTAACAGAGAAAAAACCACGACAGCAAGAGGATAAAAAAATAAGCCTGCACAAGAGCTGTAAAGTGCTACAACACGCCATCATGCTAATTTTTTTTTTTAATGCAGAGCCACCTACAAGTGGCAGTATTCAGGTCATAAATATCAATTCTTCTTACTCCATTAAAGACTGTTCACGATCATGCATGGCCCAGGAGCATACTAAGAGGATGTGAATAAGAGGGGAGAAACGTTTTAACCTTACTTTCCTCTAACAGAGACAATAGAGAAAGCACTTTAACTTCCTCCTACTTACGAAACGGAAATGCTAGAAGCGTCCTTAACCCGCATCCCGCGCGGGGTGTAAAGGGTTGGGTTGGGTTGGGTCTTCTCAAACTTACCCTTGGGAGCCAGCTGTATGAAATAAATCATAAAATAGGAGTAAAGCAAGCAATGCACGACGGTAGGTCCAGTCCATTCATATCGCAAGCTCACAAAAAAAAAATCAATGAGCTCTTACCACCTTGTAGAGCTCTGTTTACACAGGGCCACATAACCAAGGAAGAAACCAAAGGAAGGACACGCAACAACAAAAAAATGTTCACCCTTCACGCCAATAAAGCAAGAGAGAAAGAAGAACAAACATAAAACAAAAAACTAAAAAACATACGTCAGC